ATCTAAGTCTGATTCTGAAGGTAAATTAAATATCTGACAGTGATCATTACACAGTGTGGCTCTAATTCCTCACTTCACCATCTGTGTCGCAGTTTCCCGTCTCCAAAATGAGCGTATGCATGGGTCAGAGATGGTGTGAGGCACCGCACATTTTCACGTCAAGTTTGGATTTTATAAATCACAACCTTGGCGTAAAAAGTGGCGTACGCAAGTTTCTGGGCTCAAATTGTGCGTACGCCAGTTTTATAAATCCGACCCCAGGTGCCTGCAGGTGCTGCTATAAGATTTATTGCCAAGGAGCATCGTTACAACAAAGAAACAATCTACCAAACACGTATTTCCTTACTTTTGWGCYAAGTTTATATAGATGCTAAACCAAATTGTCAAAAACTGTGAGGCTGTTTCTCTTCTTCCTCACCGAATTCCAGAAATGGATATGGCCTAGCTGCCAAGGCGACGACGGAGCTGTCGAAGCGTGCTGTGAACTCCCAGCGCAGATCTTCCAGRAAGCAGAAGGCTTTAGCAACAGGGAGGCTGTAGTGGCACACACTCATGTAGGATACACCCTCTGAGGAGGAGAAGCTGAACAGGTGAGACAGGACAAGTTTAGTAAACAAACAGGCAGCTTCTGCCTCCATCATAAAATTAAACATGCACCGGCTTGCACTTGTGTCGTTCTGCAAAGAAAGAGGACAAAACGTGGCTTTTTTACGTTCTGCGAGTGCTTACTATATGTGGAGCTGCTGGCCCTTAACGGTGCCCCGGTCAGGAAGGCTAACCAGTGACTTGCTAACGGTTCTGAGCTGCTGCTTCCTCTCCTGCAGCTCTCGGTTGTGTTCGAAGTCGGTGGACGCTGACAGGGGGAGTCCATCCCTGACCCGCACTACAAATGCAAACAGGATCAGAGACATGATCCACAGGCTTCATGAAGGACACACAGCCTGCATGAGGACGAYAGCAAAATGAGATAAACAGAATTAATGCTTTAAAAAACACATTCAGGTGAATTTTTACACAGCAATGATGAAATAAAGCAGGTTTTGAAAGAGTTTAYAGGAGTGACTGCTATTGTGTTTTAGTTTGTGGTGCTGTTTAGCATTAAAGTGACGTGTTTTCAGAACAGTACCTGTAAATGTATACATGATTAATTATAATCTTAAGGGAAAAATGTTTATGTGTCAAATCCAGGTATTTACTGAAATCTTTCAAAATGGCAACCCACTTAATGTTATAAACAGACAATCTGAGTAATAAACATCTAATAAACTGAAACGAACAAGCAAAAGTTTAATTACTACTTTACCTCATTATAATTACGGGGTTCATCTTCATGCTGCACGTTTACAAGCTAAAGCAAGTTAGCTACATTTAGCATTATATCAAATAAATACACAAGTCGAAGAAAGCCAGTCTCAAATRAGCAAAGTATTACAGCGAATGGTGATTAACTTAACTAAAGAATCTATTAAAAAATATACWCAAATTTGACGATATTTTAAAATTGTCACGGGAGCTAACTTGAATTKAGCTTTTCGCCCTGAAGAACAACAACAAATCTTCTACGGTGCGGCAGGAGGGACAAACTACCCTGAACGTCAGTCAGCGTCAGCAGGAAGTTAGCTGCAGCTAACCGCTCGACCGCCGTCAGTGACTAGCTTTTATTTTCCCGGCTAGCTACTGTAAGTTGGTAAGTTATACAACTTTTAGGACTTGCAATGGGAGTGTTAAGCGTACGGTAAAAACTAAATGTTTAGTTATTTTTTTCTAGAAATCGAACGTGAGCCGCTTTGCTCACTTTAGCTAGCTGTTAGCTTCTGTGGAAGCGGTGTGTTTGCTGTGTTGTTTTCAAGTAGGTTATGGAGAAAAAAATTAGTTTTATTTACTTCAACTAAAAAGGTTTGGATTCAAAGTTACCCATATGCGTTAACAAATTCTTTTACTTTGAAATTATACTACTCTGGGTATTAAATATTGATAGTAAAAACAGCTTTCTTTATGTGTTTGAGGGATTTTTATTTATTTAATTTTTTTTGCATTCATTCCTGCATTTATTATTGTGCAAAAAATGTCTGCATGTTTGAAGCTCAGCTTGAGTTCAAGGGAATAGAAAAGAGTTACAGTCTCAATAAATTAACTTAAATTAGTAACATGGAGCAGGTTTTATATATAGCACATGCAGACCTGTTTATTTATTTATTTATTTATTTATTTATTTATTTATTTATTTATTTTTCTTTCTATGTGGCAGAAGAGAAAGCGAGGATCGAACTAAATTTACTGCCATTTATTTTTAGCTCATACTGTTTTATCCCATCATTTTCTCCAGTAATACCTCTCTGTATTCTTCTTCTTAGAGCCTGTAAATAGTTTTGAGCTGCTTTAAGGTGTAGTTAAATGTGTAGTCATTGTTTTACAAGTTCATTGCGCACTCTGTAGATAAGTTTCTTTCATGTTCCGTATATTTTTCATATATTTAGCTCTGCTCCACTTAAGATTTTGTTTAGTTTACAGTTCAACACTGATTTGCAGAAATGTTTGAGATTGACGCGATTTGTGTTGAAGATGTTTCTCGGCTCCAACACACCTGATTCAAAGCATTTAATATCCCCTCAGCCTGTCACTTTCTTCAGAAGCCTAATTTCAACATGGCCAGGCTGAAGAAAAAGTAGTTTCTACCAACTGYGTATGATTTAGAGAAGATTTCCTTAGTTTAGTTACTTTCCACTGTGTTCCTGTTAATGGTTGTTAATGGTACACATTACCTGAAGTGACTGAAGTATCAAAYTGTTGATACTAGTTTGTTTTTTAGAATCGATTTTAGAGCATAAAGCAGGGTTCCCACCAGTCATGGAAAACCTGGAGAGTCATTTTTATTTTTCATTTTCAAGGCCTGGAAAATCATAAAATTTCATTTCAGGTCGTGGAAAGTCATGGAATTTGCAAATAAATTCAAAAAATGTGACAACAACTTGTTTTTTTGTGAGGCAGTCTTTAAAAACAAAGCAACTGGAGCTAGACACCAGTTGAAGTGGTGTTGCGGTGTGTGTGTGTGCCTGTCTGTTCTGAACTTTTGTAGAAGCAGTTCTACACACATGTACAATCTTGTGTTTGCATTACTGCTAATATGGTTTTGTTTATGTGTTGACATTATCATCATATGATTCCCCAGTTAATATATTGACACTTTTCGATTCATACCTGTCTGTGAGGGCTTCATTTTTGTCATTTATGTTTCCTCCCTATCTGCCTGCACTACACATTCGCTGTAGTTCAACTTGGTGGTGTTAGTCTTTCAGCTATACTTTCTAAACCTATTGTACATGAGTCATGGAAAATTTTATTGAAGGTCATGGAGAGTCATGGAATTTTTTTCTAAATACCAGGAGCCCTGATAACGTTCTGGCATTGGTAGATGTTTCAGTGTCAATCCGCACATCACTAGTTGGTATAAGAAGGATGTTAGAGATGCAGCTGCCAGGAAAAGACAARGAGGAGAAATATGGWTGAAGTCAGAGAGGACGTGGAGATGGCTGGACTGAGGACGACTCTGCGGTGACCTCTGAACACGGAACAGCTGAARTGAAAAAGTATAGATGAGAATTTGTTCAGTACTAAATGAACTCTCATTGGGAGCAAGAACATGTTCATATTCTTATCCTAAATTTCTCTTACTTTTGTTCATACAAAGGGTTCGTACGAACA